CATAGGCTATATTTCAATCACTGATGAACAAGGTGTTTCAACATTTCCTTCGAAAATGTGTTGGTATTCTTTGACGAGATCATAGTGTACAGTTGTTCCTTGGAAAACACATTGATCATTTGAAGAAAGTGTTGACGGTACTCGATGAGCACCAACTTTATGCTAACTTTAAAAAGCTTTCTTTTGCCCAACCGAAGATGGGATACTTAAGAAATGTGGTGTCAGTTGCAAGGGTGTTGGCTAATCCCTCGAAGGTGACGGCCATGGTGGATTGACCACTACCTAAGGCCATAAAGGGGTTTAGAGAGTTTAAGGAACTTACAGGATACCGTCAGAAGTTCATGAAGGGTAACAATTCAATTGTGTGACCATTGACGGAACAATTAAAAAAGGATAACTTTCAATTGGGGGAAACATCACCCTAAGCTTTTACGAAGTTAAAAAAAGGTCATGACGAGTGTACCAATGCTAGCAATATCTGATTTAAGCCAACTATTCATTGTAGAGATAGATGTTTCAGACTATGGGTTAGGCGCAATTCTCATGTAGTGTCAACAACCCGTCACTTATTTTAGCTAAGTTCTGATAGCAAAAGCCACACTCAAGTCAGTTTATGAGCAGGAGCTTATGATAATTGTGCTTGTCATTCAAAAATAACAAACTTATTTGTTGGAGAGGCATTTCATAATATCACAGATTAGCACAGCCTTAAATTTTTGTTATAACTACATATGGTGACTGGGGAACATAAGAGATGATTATCTAAGCTATTGGGGTATGACTTCAAGATTCAGTATCGCTTGAGATTAGAAAAAAAGGCCGTTGATATCTTATCAAAACGAATGGAGAAACCTCAATTGTTGGCATTACCAATTCATTTGGTCTTAGATTGGGAGATCCTTAGGCAAAAAGTAAGGCATATGAGGAATTGAGAAAGATTCAATCGACTTTAGTGAATAGCGAGAACAACTATCCCTATTATTCACTGAATGGACAATATTTACTTTACCAGGGACGCTATGTATTACCCCAAAATTCAATACACATGCCTAAGTTAATATAGGAGTTTCACGGTAGAGCTATTGAGGGGTGCTCGGGTGTGCTCAAAACATACCATAGGATAGCATCAGGATTGCATTGGGTGGAGATGAAAAAGGATGTAGGTGGTATGGTCTCAAGGTGTGATGTGTGTCAACGACACAAGTACATGGCATTAGCATCTTGGGGCTGCTATAACCTCTTAACATTACCGAAGAATGTATAGAAGGATGTAATGATGGAATTCATTAAAGGCTTGCCTTGATCACAAAGATTTGCAGTCATCTTGGAGGTGGTGATGGACCGATTGCCCAAGTACACACACTTTGTACATCTACATCATCTCTACACTATTGTTTATGTCACCAATTTTTTTATAAGGGAGGTAGTCCGTTTGCATGAGATTTCAGAATCAATAGTATTGGATTGATACAAAGTCTTCCTAAGACATTTTTAGAGGGACCTGTTAAGAATATAAGAGGCAGTATTGAATAAAAGGATAACATGCCACCAGAGAATGATAAAAAATATGAAGTTATTAATCGAAATGTAAAGACCTTTTTGTGTTGCTTTGTATCTGGCGCATCAGAGCAGTGTGTTAAATGGCTATCCTGGGCAGAGTATTAGTACAACACATCATATAAAACAAAATCTCATACCACTCTTAAAATCTTGCATGGTTGTGATCCACCTCATTTGGTGCATTACAAACGTAGTATTATGTCAATGACTCTAGTGGATTAGTATTTAAAAAAGAGGGACAAGATGTTGGCAAAATTGAAGAGACGTTTATTGCAATAACTTATGAAGAAACAAGATAATGGACATCAAAGAGATGTACAATTTGCGATAGGAGATTAGGTGTATCTAAAACTTCAGCTCTATCAGCAGAAGACATTGACTTAGGAATAAGAAGCTCTCCCCCCACTATTTTGATTCTTATGAGATCACTTAGTGCATTGGGGTAGTGGCTTATTTTAAAAAATTCTTGTCTTTATCAACACTCCCAAGTGTTCCACACGTGTTATTGGTGATAATGTGTCTTCTTGTTGACTTCCCCATACTTTGACAGAGGATATGAAAGTTATCTTGGAGTCACTGGAGTTAACAGTGGTGTGCCAAGAACTGAAGGTGAAAAAAGTAACAATTAAAAGAAAATGTTTGTCAAATTATGACGCCAATGGGAGTCAAACGACTTAATCCAACAACAGTTTCATCTATTCCACTTTGAGAACAATGTGACTTTTTGGGATTAGAGTAATATTGGACCAGCGCATAGGCCATCGTCCACCTAACGCTTCATTGAGTCAAGGTCAAACCCGTCAAATAATTTGAGAATTATGTTGGGCGCAAGACTAAAAATGCAAGTTAGTCATGTATTAATTATTATTGTGGGGTACAAATAGGACTCAATATGTTTAGAGTTAGGTCATGCGTGATTGTTGTCTTGAAGTCTTAGAAATTAAAGTTTGGGGAGAGACTACGTACCTCTCAAATTATAGATGTTTATTTTTTTATTTATTTAGGATTGTATTATTTTGTTTTGGTATCGGTAGAATTGAACATATTATTTATGCCCTAATCACGGCAGAAGTTTGTCATGTTTCTATCAAAGTCATCCAACAAAACTTCTACATCATCTCTACACTATTGTTTATGTCACCAATTTTTTTATAAGGAAGTTTGTCATGTTTCTATCAAAGTCATCCAACAAAGAAATCAAAATTTCACAAATGTTAGTTGGACAGGATATGCATCAGACCAAAGATACATATTTAGTTATTATTCTTATTATGGAAATGTGAGAAGATTTGGTTCTTTTCATATTTACCTCTCTCATGAGGGTCAACCACCACCTCCAAAAGTTGGAGGATTTGATGGGAAAATCTTAAGAAACACTTAATTTAGTTTATCATTTTCAAACTATTTCATTTTCTAATTTATGTGAAATATGTTTGGTAAGTTTGTAAATAAGAAGGGGTTGATTTCTCTATATGTATGTACCCTCTCTGTGAAGAATAAATAAAGCAATTTTTCCTCCCCAAGTAATTCTACATGGTATCAGAACCTTAGAGCAAATCCTAGAGCCTCCAACCGCCAAAAATTTCTTATTCCGCTACAACAGTCATTTTTTTCCCCTTACATGTTGTTTCTTTCTGACACAAGTCTTGCCTCCTTCCAGTCACAGGCAATGTTGTTTCTTTCCAACTACAAGTTGGAAACCGTGGTTTCTAACTTCAGCAACAAATATCAAAAGTTGAAAATAACTCAGAGCTGCACACCAACCACATGACAACCCAAGGTGGTGCAGTAGGATAAGGTGATTGGTTGTACTGAAATACAACAAGTCTTTTCCTTTCAGCACTTCACAAAATTCAATACCAAGCTAGATTTCTACAGCAACTATGATCAGCTTGAGGGGGAGTGTGTAAATCTGAGAATATTTAATTCTTTTCAAATTTACCTCTCATATGGGTCGACAACCACCTCCAAATTATGAAGGATTTGAGATATCTTAAAAAACCTAAGATTTGGTTTACTACTTTCCAATTTTGTATTTTTTTTATTTTTTATTTAGAATTATTTCTTTTGCTAAATTAGGTGAGAAATGTTTGGTAAGTTCGTAAATAAGGATGAATTGATTTCTCTATATTTGAGAAGAATAAATAGAGCAATTTTTCTTCCCCATGTAATTCTAAACTTATGTATAGGAAAACTTGGTTGCATAGAGAATTGAAAGTGTATTGTGATAGCTAAACAATCAAGAGTATTAAAAAAATTCGATCACCAGGTGAGGACTATGCTCATTAAAATAGATCAATGTTTCACCTCAAAAAAATTTAATATTGAATTAAGGATTAAATTATGTCGCAACAAAGTTTCAAATTGCAAATATCATCACCAAAGCTTTACTAATAATGAGTTTTAATAAATTAATCAATAAACATTGCACGATCAACTTCTACAACGTAATTTATGAGAATATGTTGAAATAGTCAAATTCATTACTAGCACATTTCCATCTACAACAATCCAACACGTCAAAGATAAAAGTTTGACATCCATAGTAATTTAGCAAGTTGTAGACTGCAACATTCATTTATTTTACATAATTAATTATAAATTTTAGAATTAAAGATTAATTTTTATATTTATTTCGTTCTTTGATTATTATTGCTCTACATATTTATGTGTAAGTTCTCGTCATTTGTTACATAGAGCAAGAAAATAAAATTCAATTGTACAATCTAATAGTTTTAGTTTCTCAAAGTCAAAAGAATACTTCTCATCTATTTAATCACTACTCCGCAATTAAGGGATCCTTTTAGAAGATGACTAACAATTAACTCCAGTACCAAACACCAATAGCTACTAATGCACCGTCTCCTCAAGTAATGTCTCCTCATCGTGTATTGTCGCCTCATCAATATTATTAAAAAATCTACGCTAAATCAACTTTTCTTAAGAAAGACATGTTAAAACAACTCGATCAGAGCAAGAAATTAGAGAAAATAGAAGGAAACAAAAACAAGACTGAAAAAATAAATAAGTTCACATCTACTATTCCAAAAAAATAATTTAATTTCACCTCAAGTAATCTTTTAACTATAACCCTTTCCCAAATAACTCCTAAATACCCAAATCTGAAAATGAATGAATATAAACAGTGAATCAACATAAAGAACTAAAGCATATTACAAAGCCACAAGATATCTCAGATATTATACAACTTGCAACCATAGGCGCTTCAGATGTAACACTAATAAATAAATGATATTTCGAGAAGTATTTTGCTTTTTTGATTGATCTTTCAATGAACTAGTGATCAAAAATAAGTCCAAAACAGCTTCATAATCTAATTAATGCAAAAATTTTGCAAAGTTTATAACAAGCAACAAAGAATCTTCTGACTACTGAAATATGAACAATTAGTGTTTTGAATTGAAGATGCAATAAGCTACCTTTCATTGAACCTTTTTGGAAGCAAACACATTTGAATCATGTCTCCTGGAAAAGTTTAAAATCATACACATTTAAGGAGGAGCTAAAAAGGTATTTCAGAAAAGCTGCAGCATTTATAAAACAATTTATTAACGTTGATCAACTTTTATTAAGTTAAATTTTAGAATACCATTACTGCAAGCATTGAAATAAGCTAACAAGCAGCTATAGAATGAAGCACTTCACCGCCATGCAAAATAAAAGGTTCACCTTGTAACACAAGGACAACAACTACATGCTTTATTTCACACTTTTTCATAACACTGAAACCAGAATGTTTCATTTCATTTCCCTTAAGGCTGTTTGGCTGCAAACAGGACTTAACTTGATTTAGTAAATCCGGATTTATCAAATCCACTGAATTAATGGATCTAGTAAATCCAGATTTACAGAAAAAATAAAAGAAGTTTGGATTTAACCATCGCTGGACTTAACATCAACACATTTAATTCTTTGGCTAGATCTAAGTTAAATGCATAAATGCAGCATAAAAACTATTAGAAAGGCACTACCAAACAGCCCTTTAAAGATAGTTTCAACTCAACAGTTATGACTTAAGCAAACATCACCTAGACAGTCCTACATGCTCAAATCAAAGATTAACCCTTTTTGAGAAGACAATAGAACAAAAGTGTGCAGAAAAATAAGCAGGCATCCTCTCATCTAATTAAATCGATCCTTGTCAACTACAGTGCAATGGCATGAAAAAAGATCTGGCAGCTGCATGTGCTTCCAACTTGTGCAAGATGGACTGCAAGAATATATTGCAGGAATAGAATCTATGCTGAAAGCATATAACCACAAAACCTAGAACGCATTTCAGGTTTAGGCGTTCTCGGATAGTTGACAAACATGGTAAGGCCGAGAACAACAGAACGAGCTATTGCAGACATAAGCCACAGGAAGGCCATCAGCTCAAAAACTCTGCAAACATTGCGATAAAGATATAACCACAAAACCTAGAACGCATTTGAGGTTTAGGCGTTCTCGGATAGTTGACAAATATGGTAAGGCCGAGAACAACAGAACGAGCTATTGCAGACATAAGCCACAGGAAGGCCATCAGCTCAAAAACTCTGAAACCATTGCAATAAAGATATACTAACGCTGGAAGCTAGACCCAGAAGGGAAAGCCAGCATGCCATAACTATCATCAACAACTTACGCAGTGCTACTTGACCCACATCCATCCCGTCAAGCAAGGCAGCCTCAACCCGGCTAAAACATCATAATTTGAATTAAAAGAAAGTCGTCACTTATTTTCAATGTCAAATCACACTCCATATTAATGTCAAAAAACATAACTAATGAATATTCTTTAATAGATGAAAAATTCATTGAATCACTGAGAATCATTCACTCCAGGCATTATATCTAGCTTCATTAACATTATCGTTAAGAAGCCTATAACTGCTCGAACCTCATTACGAAGAAACAATAAGAAAATGACTAAAGAATCTCTCTCTAAGAGCTCGAACTTTAACCGATTAGCTGATTCAATGCAAGGTCATCCCACTCAGAGCCGCCTCCTCACCACCGATCTAAAAAATGCCAAATGCCTAAATTCACATTGGATGCCAAACAAGAAATACGAAGTACTACGGATCCGGAAAAGGAGGGAAACACTAAAAACCATAAGACTAACCCCGTCGGAGGAGTTATCCGCGTCCATGTCAGCACGGAGCCGTTCATAGAGCTGCGGACTCCGGTAAACTGAGCCAGGGGCCGGTCGGGAGATGATCGCAGGAACGCTATCGAGCGAGACGGTGCCCATATAGAGGAGCATCCCGGATACGTATATCAGCGGCGCAAAGAGGAAGATGGCCTGCCGCCTGAGAAGTAGAGATAGCAGCATCCACGCCATCCTCTGCGCCAGCGTACGCGGCGCACCGGGCGGTAACCTCCGAGTGCCAACGCCGCTACCATCCTTCGCCGCCCGGAGACCTCCTCGGCGAAGCCGGCGGCGACGGTGTCCCGCTTCCGCCATTCGTAACCGCGGCGCCGCTACCACCGCTGCCAATACTCCCCACGCGGATGTAAGCCTGGTTCGGCATCATAATCTGGACCCCCACTGTCGATGCTCGTCTTCTTCGCTGTCCTACTATTCGCACCTCTCTGTCATCGACTTGTGCTTGCTTTCGGCCCGGAGAAAGAAAAGAAGAAAAGACGGAGGAAGGGGCGCGGGGGCACACGTGACGCCAGGAGAGGCGATGTTCTCCACCCGAGGAGGGCTCTTCTAGCTTGCTTTTCAAGAGACGCTGAACCTTGTTATCAGATCAGACCTGCTAGGCCATCTGGCGGCTTGTATTGCCGCAACGCGGGCTCGATCGCGGTTAAACGGGCTATTTGGATAAAGTCCAAATAGGTGCGGAGTTGTGCCAGTTCATATTATTTTTATCGTCAACGGTATGGTATTCAGTTTACAATTTCCAACCCATAAACCTTATTCCCATGCGAACATCGCATAACGGCTTAACGAGCAATATCCCCCGGGCACTCGAAATGTTACTATGTACAAATCTAATGTTCTCTTTTATCTATTTTAAATTTCTCACTTAAATATCAAAATTCATTATATAACACTCTCTATATATCTAGAAAAATACTGATTGTAGCAGAGACCGGCCCGTCACCACAACCAACTAGCTAGTCACATTGCTTGATGGACCTAGCAAAGAAAAGATGCTAGAACATACGAAAAGGTACCAAATATATAAAAATGTGTCAATAGAGATAATAATAACCCGTAACTCTCAATGACATAATAAATGGTAACTCTCAATGGCATAATAATTGGTAACTCTTAGTGATATAATACTTTGAAACATTCATAGGCAATGATGAAATTTTCTTTTTTCTCCTATGACCTATAAATAAGAAGATCTTTTTAATGTAAAAAGGAAGAAGACATTTGGGTTTTCTAGCCGATTAGGCACAATTTTCTTTTTTCTCCTATGACCTATAAATAAGATCTTTTTAATGTAAAAGGGAAGAAGACATTTGGGTTTTCTAGCCGATTAGGCATTACTCCCCGTTTTTTTTTGTAACAACTTCTTTCAATGTATAAATTGGTCCAAGAGCCCAGGGAACACCCCCCACTTTGCCCCACTCGGAGTGATCGCTATGTCACTCCTTTCTTTCTCTAGGCAGATGATCCGCTTTGGCTTTTAGCTAACGAAGCTATCCAAGGTGAAGCTCTGTCGGTGAAAGATATTCCTCCTCTCCCTTTGGCCAAAGGGTGTCCCCATAGCGGTGTGCCTCCTCTCATTGTAGAGAGCTTTCATATGACATAGATAGAGCACATGATTGGTAACTTAGTTTTTTCTTTTTTATTCGGTCTTCCAATTTATTCTAATGACACAAACTCAAACATTGCAGAGAAACTGTGGATATTATAGACTCATGGCCCATAGAGACAGTATGTGAAACCAAGCCAGCAAAGCCTGCCATCCGCTCATGCTGCAGCTAAGGGGGGTATCTGTCTCATGAGTCGTTAGTCCATTGTATGGACGAGGCCGTGGAATCCTTCATTGGGGCTGCAAATATTTAATAGGAGGCCACCGTATCAGACTTGCAGGAGGAGCTGACGGTAGTGTATGCGAACATGGAGTCTCTCTGGGCCCGAGCCGCAGATATGGAGGTTCTCCTCTCTCGGATTATAGGCACAGAAGCTCTTCGTGCTCAGGTTGCGGACCTGAAAGCTCTTCAGGTCGAGGTGGAAATCCTAAGGGGTTAACTGACTGAATTTTGGGTCACCAGTTCTATCTTTCATGTTTGCACTAAGGAGGAGAATATAGAGAAGTATAAGTTTGTTGGGCATGAATTATATATCAATCTGATAAATCAAGATTTGGTCTTGCAGGAAGAAGCAAAAAATCCAACTATAAAATATTTTATTATGAATAAAATTTCACAATCTTTTCCATAATTTAGTCATCATTGATTTTCTTGATTTTATTCTCGAAGTTACGTCTTGGCAAAACCCAATGTGGTGTTTCGGCTTCATCATGGGGCATATATGTATGTTTAAATGGATGCTCAGTAGAGCCATTGAACTTTCCAATTTGGCTACCCTTGGGTTAGCTTATTTTCAAAGTTCAGTGGCTCTCAAATTTTCTCGTTATATTTTTGGCTAAGTTAAATCGACCCAAAGAGCAATCCTCACTATGTTCAAAGTTAAGTTGTTGAAAGAGACTTGTGCCTATGACACATGTGTTGTCCTTGAGCAAGTAGATGCGGATGTTCAGGCTACTCACTATCTAGGTGACAATCTAATCTTCTATCGAGACCAATTTTGATGTGGGCTTTGACTGCCCTTGTGTACAGAGCTCCGCTCAATTTTCAGCTTCTATGATGTGATTCTAGTCCAAGTGAAGCCAAACTCCATTGCCACAGTTATGAAATGTGTGACAACTGCGCAAAAGAGGTATTCCTTAGTCACATGAACTATTTTTAAATATGTTCCCACTCCGAGTCAAGACAAACGAGTATGTGGTCTCTGACACTTCCCAAATGTTTCATTTAATCAATTTGGAGAATAAACTAAAAGATTGATAACACCATTTTTTGAGGGGTGTCTTTGAAGAGTGGAGCATCCCAACCAGGGCTCGACGCCTTGTGCTAAAGGAGCAAGGCCGTTTTTCTGTAGCAAAAAGTAATAGAAGAGGTCATTCTCGTTCGACAACCATCAATGATCCAACCCATTGACCCCCTAGTTGTAAATTGGGTGTTGAACCCATGTGAATATAGTAAAATGGCAGAAGAGATGTCAGATGCTTCTGATAAGGTTGAGGAGAAAAGACAGCTATAGAAGGTTGTCGGACTCTTGAAGAAGGTGATAAGGAAGAGAAAGAGAGCGGATAAGAGGGAACTGAAGAAGCTGATCAGTCAGGGGAGTATATTCCAGGTTTAGATTTTGTTCATTCGGTTCCTAAAACTTCCATTGTTTTATAGAATAAAGTCATAAGTGAATTAATACTGATTGAACAAAAACATTCACTGGTGATTATAAGTGATTCAAGAGACTACGCGACTCCTTCTCTTTTCCCCATGGATACTGAAGGGTCATCTAGGCGTCTTTCCACACAAGCAATCTCTCAGTTGTCTTTAATGGTTTTTATCCTTCTTTTAGAGAGAGCTGAAGCAAGCCGATAGTCTCCGCATGTACAAATTAAGGGAGAGTCAGTTGTTGGAAATTTGGGGAAAAACATGGAAGAAAGCCATAATTTGGTTAAGGCAGTTGAGCGCAAAAGAAAGGGAAAAGTTGTCTCCTCTAAGTTTTTCCTCCCAAATCTGCTAAGAAGTAAGAAAGGGGGAAAAGACTGATGGATTTCTCTTCAGAAAAACCAACTAAAGGTTTATATGAATTATGATTTGAGTCTTGGTCGGGTGAAAATTAAGAGGGATTGGTCCCGCTTGAATTTGGCTTCGATGGGATATGCTTCTATGATTGCTGAAATCTATGGTCAGTGGGCTTCGATAAGCATCTCAACATAATCTATCAGGTTGAATTGTATCAATCATTCAATTGCTACCAACTCCTAGGTTACACTTCCACTCATCACTTAATCTCCCTCTACCTATCCATGAGAGAAAGGTTTGCCACGTCTTGGGAGAAGATTAGAAAATATCAGGAGGGGCAGTGCTGGCTATCATGAGGGAAATTGAGGTGGACGCTGATTTAAAAGACACTTGAGCAGAGTTGGAAATAGTTGTTCAAGAGGAGAATGTTGAACTGATGGAGCAAATGTCTATTATGATAACCACAAAAGAACTACTCCCCACACAAGTTGAATAACAAGATTACGACTGATGAGTTACCTAGAGTGGAGATGATTAACCCTAAAATTCTAACATTGAAGAATTTAAGAAGATCTATGACGCTCTTTTTGCTTTCAAACTTAGTGAGGAATCTGCGGATGATAATGTGATTAATGGTGGACCATCCAACACTCGACCCAAAGATCCATAGGTCCAACCTTTTTTTATTACTCAAGGTGTATATACTAAGGTTTTTTAATAGACAACCATATGACTGAAATATGAACTTTTGGTTATTCTTTACTTTTGGTCATGTCTTTCTTGGGAATTGAGAAACAAGAATCTTCATAAGGGAATCAAATATAACTTCAGAACTTTCAAAAAAAGTTTGAAGTTTTTTTTTTTTACTTTGGAACAACGTTGTTGACCTCACTTTTGGTTGAGGTCTAATCTCTTTCTTAGAAGCCTAAGATATAGCCAAAAGATTTTTCTGTTGACTATTCCTAGAAGACTAGTAAAGGAACCTTCACCATTAAAAATTTTAAAACTCTTCTTTTCTCATCTAGAAGTTTCACATGTTAGTTTTAACCTTTAGCACTTTGTAGGTGGAGCCAATATGGGGGAGCTCAAGAAGAGTCCCCATAAGACTGTTTGGCCTTAGGGCTAGCCCTGAGTGGTGTGGTCTTGGTCAGTTTTGCACACACACACTTGATACCCCTCACCTACCCCTCACCTTCACTACTTGATACCCCTCACCTTCACTCACAACCTAAACCCTTAACCAAATATACTTAACTTGATCCTTTACTCTTTTGGAAACTCATGCAGACGGCCCCCTAAACCCTTAGCCCTAGGCTAGAGTTTGGCTAAGAGCAACACATGGAGGATCCATAATGGGAGCTCCCTTGGTCTCAAGGCTAAA